AACAAGAAAATATATTTTTCTTTCGGGTACATTTGTTTAGTGGGATAATGGAAAGAAAATGTAAGAAAGGGAAATTTTTAAAATTTTGATGTGTTTAGTTAGTATGAAATGGAAAATGATGGAAAAAATAATTTTTTTTTATACTTGAATTTTTGCATAAATAACTAATTTTTTTTTCTTGTAAAAAATACAAGAAAATGCAAGAAAGTTGTGATCTATAACTAACTTCTCATTTTATCTTTATTTTTCTTAAAATATTTATTGGTTATTAATTTTAAAAATTCTTGGTATAGATTTGGTTAACCATATAATATGGCCCAAAAACTTTCATGCCGGTGCTTGTCCTAGAATTAGGTTAAGATCCATTTTTTAAAATTTTTTTAACAATCAATTATAATACATGGTTTTTTTCTTCTTTTGATTGATTTAATATAATTAAGGGTAATTTAGACAATTAGAAAAAAATTCTTGTAATTTTCCTTTCTCTCAAACAATAAAATGAATTTTTTAAAATTTTCTCATAAATTTTTTCGTGCTTACTAAATAAATGCATAAAAATATATTTTCTATCCTTTTTTTTATTTCACTCCACGTTCTATCATTTTCACTTCCCTTTCTTTTAATTTCTTGAGATGAAATTTATCAAGAAAGTTGTAGAAAAATGCTTGGTAGTTGGAATGACATCTATTTTGTTTTTCAAAACCACTTAAATTCTTTGCATGGAATCCTATTCAGCGTCAAAGAAAATTATCCAGATCAGCACTCTAATCCTAACCATCTGACAGTGGAAAATTATCCAAAGTTCTGCTCAAACTACCGTAGTGTAGACCCAACACTAAACTCACCAACCCAGCAAACTTGCCTTTCTTCTCCAGTACTGGCGACTTTACTGATTCACTCTCCAGTCCATCCATCCAAACACCATCAAGCTCTCCCCCAATTCGCTCCTTCTTCATTGCGTTATCTTTGATCTTTGCTTCATGCTGCTGACCTGTCTTTTGCTTGGGATGAGCCAATTTTCTTGTGGTCTCCTGTTTGGGTTTCGTGAGAGAAGGATAGGGGAATACCTTGACTTGATTGCAAGCTCTATGAAGGTTCCTTTGCTTCCTCTCTTTTGGATTTGTTCTCTGAATGAGTTGCCTTAGGGGCCTAGCTTGACTTCCTTTTCCCGTGGGGAAAAATATTTTTTATACTTTGGCCATGTTAAAAAAACCCTAGCTTGCTTCGGCTCTTACTACGATTTTGGTTTTTTTTTTTGTTTTCTTGCTCTAGAGTCCATGCAGCTGATCTGTGAGGTTTCAACGTGGGATTTTGATTTCAGACTTGGATTTTGAATAGGGGCATGTTGTTTTGACAGCTTGGGTGGATATGTGTTTTGTTGCTTTGAGATGGGATCAGCTTGTGATCTTGAGTTGGGTATTTCCTTTCTGGTTGCCAATTCCTGGTTTTGAGTTAACTATTGAGAGTTTTGGACATGAATTTTCACAATTTAAGTGGGATTTGTGCAATGAAGCAACTGAGAAGTAGGTGTTGTGCAGAGAGCCATGGGCCAAATGGGAAGGGTGATTTTCTGTCTTTCTCTTTTGTTATACGTAGTATTATTTTGCTCTTTTCTTTGCGACCTTAAATGATTGCAACTGTTTAAAATGATTGAGCTAGTCTCTGCCCTCTCGCGATCTTCTGCACTTGTTTTCAGATTTGGTACTGGTTGTTTCCTTATCTTTTTTTCCTTTTATATTTTTTTCTCTTATTTTTTATTCATTTCATTTTGTATGTAGGCATTCAAGGAGATTCACAAGGGTAAGAAGCCTCCTGGTGTCTGGAAGACATTAATGGAGGTTATTCCCCATGTCAAGAGCACAACTAACCTTCAGAACAACTGTAAGTTATTTCTTATTTTGATACCGGGCTTGAAAGTTCTATAATTTCTACTTATGTTACCCCTCTATAGGCTGGAGCCTAGTGCAGTATGACCTTTATGTTATATTTGTATGTGAGGACGGCACATGGTTAAATAGTCACCTGGGCTTTTTAATCATCAATATAGTTAATCATAAAAAATATTATTTGGTCTTCATCTTCATGAGTCATGGACTTTTCGAGAAATTTTACAAAATATGTTGCAGCATAGTCATATAGGTTGAATTATTTTTGCATCCATAAAGTAGGGTTGGCCAGAATCATTTGCCAGTTTTTGTAGTGTGTCTGTAAATTTACGGAACAGCCATCTAAGAAAATATTTGTCATATTAAACTGCACTATCTTTTGCCAATATTTAGTGACATGTATTCTCTATCATCTCAGCGTATTGTTTCTAGTAAGGATTTCTATTATGAGCTCTTGAATTTAATTGGCGTTGTATTTATCTGTTGCAGTGCAAAGCTACCGTGTCCTATGGACGGGCCTTGGGGCACAGCTCTCTCGTGATGTGCCTTTCTCTGCTATTTGTTGGTCGACCCTTGAGCCGGTTAGATTTTATTCTTCAAAAATGTAGTGTAGTTCTAGCTGTGATTGTATTTAATATGATTTAGTTTTATTTTTTCAAATATTCTGTACAGATGAGAAGACGACTTCTTGGTCTGGTGGGTGAGGAAGCCAATGCAGCCAGTGTGCTTGGTGCAAATTTCTCTGCTGGTTTTGTTGCAGGAAGCCTTGCTGCTGCTGCTACATGTCCACTTGATGTTGCGAAAACCAGAAGGCAAATTGAGGTTTATTCTCAGGGCTAGACTCATCTTCACCTTTTTTTTGCAAGTTTTGATGTGTCAAGTTATATAAAAGAAATCACCAACAGGTTTTGTTACATGCTACTATCATTGACCATACCAGTAGAATCAGTGTTTATCCTCCCTACTCCATTTTGTATCGTCTGCATTCTGCTTTCCTAGTTTGCTGTGGTAAATAAAGCAGACTGACTTTTGAAACATAATCTCCCCCCCCAAAAAAAAACAAAAAAAAAATTGCTTCCTCAATGCAACTGTTATCTTTTTCCTCAAGTGGTATCTTCTTCTACTCTAGGGGGAATAATGAAAGGTTTAAAATGTAGTTGGAGCATGTTGCTAATGTAAGCATTTATTGAAGATAGTAGTCTGTGATTTTTATTAAATTTGACAACTAAAGCCAGAATCTTATGTCTAAACTGGACTTCTTTTATTCTAAAATATTCTGTTTTTTTATCCTTGCTTGTTTTACAGAAAGATCATGCCAGGGCATTGAGGATGACAACGAGACAAACGCTGATGGAGGTTTGGAGGTAGATCTTTATATTTAATTACCAGTTATCCTTAGAAAGCCAATATATTATGCAGGCAATCAAAATAGAGAGTAGACATGAAATGGTTTACTTATAAATTCATTCATTACTGATGAATATGATGGGTGCGTGGAAGCACTATCACGATATAAGTAATGTATTGTGTAACTGGAATCCTAACTTGTCTTTGCAAATATTGTTCTATCTTGTACATTGTTTGATGAAAAAATAGTGTCCCGTTTGTCAAATTTCAGACGCGCGTATTTGAGGGGCCAACTATGTATAACCTAAAAACCCCAACCCCGGCTTTAGCAATAGCTGCTGGAGAAAGAAGCGACTCACCCATAGGGAAATGATAAAACTAGGCTCTTACGCAATTAGTAGGAAACAGAGGAGCAACCTACTCTTACCTTTAGGATCGACCAATAACAACCTATTCTCTTACACAAATTTGCAAATTTCATATAATCTTTGTTAATTGCTGCTAAATGAATCTTGAATTAGAATTTGTTCCTGTTGCAGGGATGGCGGGATGAAAGGACTATTCACGGGTGTTGGTCCTCGTGTTGGCCGTGCAGGACCTTCTGTGGGCATTGTGGTTTCGTTTTATGAAGTTGTGAAATATGTTCTGCATCATCAGTATGCTACTTAATGATAATATTGTGGAAGCTGCTCAAACCCATATGTGGAGGTAGACCCACTTCTTCGTGGTATAACCGTACCATGGCCTCGTATTTAGTATACACACGCATACAGATGAGCGGTTTTGTTCATGGTAAATGCTCATCACAACACCACATAGCACAGGAAATACTCTCTCTTCTCTTTTTCCACCACTTCTGGTGCCTGTTTAGTTGTAGTTCAAGTTTTAGATGCAGAAGAGATTTTGACACATTGTGTTGCAATCAATTTTTACCGAGTTAATCTCAGTTTTTCTTAATTTATCTTTTCTAATTCTTATTGTCGATTGCTTTGGGGATATTGATGGACCATTAATTTTTGAAGTGTTTGTGAAAAACTTTATCTAATGGGTAATCTCTCAAATGGGTGTTCTATCTTCACGATGTCCCTCAATTGCATAACTGCATTACCAACGGTATCAGGAACCCCATCTACATCTACATCTACAATAAAACTTGTTCTTGGTGTTAAGGGTGACAATTTTCTACACGATCCATTACATTGGTGAGAACTCAGAAAGGAAGAAATCAAAAGGTAAGTTTGTTTGATTCTGAGACGATAAATGTCTAAGTGGGGTTACAGGAAGAAAATCTGTTTTTATTATTTGTTTCGTTGTCTTGTAAGGTATGAATTATTACAGAATTAAAATTATCATTTGATTTTCTAAAAATGTGAATCGCCAAGGTTTTTTTTGGGAAAATTTTAGTCACATTCTCTCTAATTTATTATATTTTAATGGATATTTCTTCTATTTTTTAAATTTTCATTGACATTTAATGTCAAATGTTTTAGAAAAAATTTCATCCATATCTTGTATAGATAGGTATATTTTTAATAAGAGTCTCTCTGTTTTATAAATTTTTTTAAGTATTAAAATTAGGATTAATTAATTTTTTTTAACTTGTATTGAATTTTAATTGTCTTGAATTTTAATATGTAAAAAAATATAAATTTTAATCGAATCTAATATAAATACATAAAAAATTATTATTTTTTTATTTAATCTTCTCACCTGAAGCAGAAGATTCTGTTTGGCGATACTCGAACGCTTTAACTCAAAAAAGTTTTGATAAAGAAAGTACCTCAAAAAAGTTTTGATTGTAATTAGGGGTGTCGAGCGTCTTAGATTAAACGGTTATGTATTGGATAAAAAAAATATAAATTCATATACGACATATTTAATAAACAGATAAAAAATTTCAACACGAGCACAACCTGTTTAATAAACGGGTAATACGACATGACAAAAAATTATATTAACAAATTTTAATACTCTATTTTTTTTTATTGTCAATTGCAATTACCTTAAAAAAGAAAAAATTTTAATCAAATTTTATAAAAATAAGACTTGAATGCTTAAAAAAAAAAAGGCAAGAGGTCATTGCCTTTTATAGGTAACTCAGCCCTCCCCATCTCCCCTCATTTTTCAATGTGGGATAAAAATAAAAGACATTTGTTTGTTTTTGTTTTTGAAATGCTCCCCATCTTATCTCATTTGTCTTTGAAGTGCTCCCTATCTTATCTTATTTATTTTTGAACTACTACTTTACTTTTTTTTTATTGATTTATTTACTTTTTTTTCTTGTTAATTTTTTAAAATAATTATTAATTTATTATTATATTAATTTTATTTAAACGGGTAAATGTGTGATAAACGGTTTGACATGTCTCACCCGAACACAATCCGTTTATATAATATAGATTCATCTTTACTTTTTCATATAGGTATAAACATAGATATGAAAAATTTTATATAAGTGTATTACTTATAAAGGAGTCTAAAATAATTTAGTAGTCAAATACTACTTATAAAAGAGTTCAAAAAAACTTGAAAGTCAAATTACATATAAAAACAAATTTTATACGAAGGTTATAAGGACATAATTAATTTTATAAAAATTATACTAGTAATTCATGACGTGTATTACAAGTGAACATATTTAATAATAATTGTTTGTTAAACTTAAAAAAATATAGATTATATGTATAATTGAATTGAATAAATAAATTATGTATCAAAGAATTAATTCTTATTTTAATATTTACTAAACCTAGTTATTAGTTTGTCTATACGTGTATTATAAAGTAATTTGAGTTATATAAAATTACTATTGTAATTAAAGACCTAAAGTTATAATAATAAGTAGAGCAAATAATTAGAAACCTAATGCTATATGACAAAAAGAGTTTTGAAAGAAAATGAAAGGAAAAATGATGACATTAATAAGGATATATAGGGTATGATTGACTTAACATTATTAAATAAAAATAAAATAAAAAATTAATTGTTTTTTTCACATATCCTGACATTTATAAGTGGAATACATAGATATAGATAGATTATTAATTAATGTTCATACTTGAAGGACCTATGTAACTCAAAAAATAAAATCATTATTCTTTGCTTTTTGTCTTATTTTAAATTAAAATCAAGTGGTGCCCAATAAATTTCAAAATAACTTAATGCTAAATAAGTCTTAATGGCTTATATACGATACGAATTCAACAAAATTATTACTCGTTATCAACCTCAATTTCAATGTTCTCATTTGTAAGCTTTTCATTGTGAAAGTTGTAATTACTATTCTAAAAAGTCCAGGATGAATGATTTTTCGCATTTTTTAGGTTGACACAAAACCTAATCATACACAATACAAACTTGATAAAATAAAATATGGACTCGACAATAAATAGTTTGAATATAAACTAAAGAATTTAGATATAAAATGACGTAAACTCTACACGAACCCAATAAGATACATCTCACTATCAACATCAAGTCATTCAAGTTCTAAATACATTCAATACTTCTTTTTGTTTTCTTATCAAAATAATTCAAAAAAAAAAAAAAAAATCTACAGTGGAGGATTTTCCCCATTTTATAAACCCGTCACATTCACTTTTTTTTAAAAAAAAAAACCTAATATCAACCCAACTTGTTGTTTGCTATTTTCATAATAATTCCCACTAATCCCATTGAGAAATCTTATAATTCCCGATAATCCCACTAATTCCCACTAATCCCATTGAGAAATTTTATAATTCCCACTAATCCCACTGGGAATCTTATAATTCCCACTAATCCAACTGTGAAAAAAATAGCTTTTAGTAAAGTAATTGATGACAGGTTGGAATGTTCTTTATCCTCCAAATAATATACCTTGACATCCACAAATAGGATATTTGTACACATATTTTACATGAACATAGAGACAAACCAGACTTTTTTTTTTTTTTAATCGTAACGAAAGCCTATATAGCTCAAGTTGAGTTGAAATTGACTCGAATTTTAACATGTGAAATTTTTTTTAATAACCTTCAATTTTAATATGTAAGAAAAATAAAATTTAATTAGTTCGAACAGAATTTTCTTTGGTTTAAATTTTAATATGCAGAAAAATAAATTTTAATCAGTTTGAATTTTAATATATAAAAAAATAAATTTTAATCGGTTCGAATTTTATGTAAAAAGATTGTTTGAGATTTATGTAGGGATAGTTTTAGTATTTTATATAAATTTTTTTTTTATTAGAAATAGTGGTGCAACGGCGGGGAGTGTCAGTGATGTTTAAATATAAAATAGAAAGGATATCAATGATGTTTTGAATATGATAAATTAATAAGATTTGGTTGAAATTATCCCTTTTTAAAATTAATATGTGGAGAACAAGGTGGATTCTATTCAGAAAAAGATGTATTAAGCTATTTGATACTGGCCAGATCTTGTGGAATGTTACTAGATTTTGGGTAAACCCATGTGACCTATTAACTGTAACGTCAATGGGAACTTCTTCCATTGGCCCCTCCCTTAGAAATAAACTAAGCACATTTTTAATTTATAAGAATTTAAAGTTAATGCACGGGAGAATTCCTACAATCGTATGAGACAGCGATCTCTAACTTTTACAATCGTATGAGACAGCGATCTCTAACTTGTAATTTTTTTAAAGTGTAAGTTACAACTTTCAAAAGTATGCATGGTCGATCATGAAAAGTTGTATAAGAAGAGGCAAGAAGCAGAAAAAGCAGCACAACCCTAATTGCATAATAAAGTAGCTCAGAAGTTAGATTCATGGCAGATGCTAAAGCCAGCAACTCCACCGTAGAAGGAGACCTTGAAACGGCATCTAATGGTTCCGACCGACGCAGCACACATATTGAACGAATGGATATCATACACAGATCCTTGAGTTTTAGTGATATATACCAGCCTCCTATAAACAAACCTAAGGTATGCTTTTTGTTGAATTTTTTTTTCCTTCTTATTTTACGCATGCATATCAGTCCAGGTAATACAACTTAAGTTTGAAGCTTGAAATCAACCTCTTTAAAATACGAGTAAAGTTGCTACTTATCTCTCTTAGACCCCTTGTAGGAGAGAGTCTCGGGCACTGTACTCCAATATTTTTCCCTCATACTCACCTTAAGCGGATGGTTGATCAATCGGTGAAGAAGCAAGAGGGACTTTGAATGTAGCTTTCAAAGCTCCATCTTCCACATTAAAGTAGCCTGAAAGTGTGTGTTGACATATTGAGAAACGATAAGAAAGAAAATGGGCTGGGACTGAGATATATTTAAGTGGTGGAGTTTCCATTCCAAAGTACTTGGAATCCAAGACTTGCTGCATTGAGTTTGGGTTCATTTGATTACTTTACGGTAGTTAATAAGTAGTTAGTAGCAAGATTCCACTAAAGATGACAAGATCTTCCTCTCGCTACAAAAAATTTGGGTTTTTTTCGACATGAGAGTTTTCCTGACGCCAGAATATACGGCGTATAAACCAAACACCGAGAATGATTTTTTCCGGTGGTTGTTCAATTTTTGCCTGCTTTGCTAAATTTTTTTGCTGTGTCTTATTAGAAGATTCACATAAGTCCATCGAAACATTAACAAAAGTCCAATTTAAGAAGAATTCCAACATTTTACTAAGAGGAAGATTTGATTCTCTCTCTCTCTCTCTCTATGATCTTC